GGAGAGGGAGGCCGGGGGCGAGCGCGAGCCCCGGGAGCGCGGGGGAGGAGCGCACGAGGGCGGCGGCGCGCTCCCCGCCACCAGCCCCGCGCCGCCCGCCACCGCGCTCTGGCCCCGCCTCCGCACTCACTGCCTCCCTCTCGAACATGCTGGGCCTCCTCTCCCTCCGAGGCGGCGGCGGCGGCGGCGGCGGCGGCTGAGACGCGGTACTCGAAGACGGCTTCCCGCCTCGCCCGCGTTTCTCCATGCTGCCGGCGCTGCCCCACGCCCAACGGCCCGCCTCCACCCGCCCCAAACGCCTCGGCTGCTTCCCGCGAGACTTCAAGTCCCGCGCCTGCGCCGCGCCGGCCAGAAGCGCGCCCGGGAGGGAGGGGCGGGCGGGGCGAGGTGTGCGTCATCCCGCCGCGCCGCCTGCCGGTAGCTGGGAGTGACGGAGGCGGAGCGGCCCGGAAGCGGGGTGCCGGTGGGCACGCGAGCGCGCTGTTGGCGGGCGGGGAGAGGCGCAGCGGCCGCCGCGGCCCCCGGGCCTCCGCGGTGTCTGCGCAGGCGCCGCCGCGGGAGCAGGTCGGCCCTCCAGGCCCTCGCCCGCGGCTGGCGAGAGGATGAGCACCCGACCCGGACACGAAGACGCAGCGCCCGCCCTCGTTCGCCCCGGCGCCTCCCCGGCCGCCCGATGCCTCCGCGGCGCAGTTCTCGCACCTCCCAGGCCCCAGGCCGAAATCCGCGAGCCGGTGGCGGAAGAGTGAATGTGGCATTCCGCTCGCGGGCGGGGCAGCCGCCGGGTCGCCGCAGGCCGCTTCGCGCGTGTGTGCAGCGGTCTCGGGCTCGGAGGAAGCCTTCTCCGCGCCCGCGCCGGTGTGGCGCCCAGCCTGCGGGTGGTCCTGCTAAATTGAAATAAGACGTTTTTAGGCCATTTTGGTTACAAAACTAAATCACAACAGAGCCAATGGCCGTAGATCGCGTTATACGGGTTGCCTCATAGGGTTTTATTTCCTGTCCTCGTGCAATTAAATACAATCATCTGTCATCACTTTTAGCAAGCGCTACTGTTTTTTGAGTGCTGTGCGTGAGACACTTTGCAGTGTTATCTGTAATTACTGCAACACTAGATTACATCCTGTACCGTTTACAGTTAAAACGGAGGCTCAGAATGCTTCAAAGCCAGTGGTACAAGGAGTCTGAAGAAGAGTTCAGACTGAACGTTCTGAGCATAGGTCACCTGCACCGCCCCACGCTGCCCTGGACGAGACACTGGGGCATCAAGGAGGAAAGGTAGGGGTGGGTGCGCGCGCACGCACACGCTCGCGCACGCGCACGCACACACGCTCGCGCTTGTACGCGCGCGCGCAGACGGCGGAGAGGGAGGAGAGGCGCGTTCATAACTAACAGGAAGACGTAAGGTCATGAGTCAAGGTATTGCAGTATCTAGTGTTTCCTGATTTGAAGTAGGATTTTATTCCTAATTAACAGGTTAATTATTCAAGACAATATGTGCTTGAAAGTTAACTAAAAGTCAGCTTCTCGAATGCTGTGTCTCTTGGTAGGGGTAGGGTATTGTTAGTCCCCAAAGCTGAGGTTTTAACGACTTGAAGAAGCGCGTTCCCTTCGGCTCCAGGAGGGACGAGCCATCGATGACTCAGCTGACTCTCGTTTCTTGTGTGCTGGGGGTATGTTCCGTGTAAGACCCGACCTTGGTGCCCTAGGATCTTACAGTTCGGTTAAGGCTGCAGGGTAGCTGTATTGCACGGGCGAATACAGCCGAAAGAGGACCTTTCCTGAAGCTTCTGTTGCCGTATCCCGGGCCTGCAGTAATGGAGTAGATGGGCTTTTGTGCAAACATACGTTTGCCCGCCGCCTGTCACTCCAGAACCAGCGCTCCTTGCTTAGAGTTCAGACGCTTTTTTAAAAATGCAAGGAGTCCCTTTTGATATCAGAGTAACCCTTTAGGATTACATTTCTGTATCAGGCAAGACAAACCACACCAGGCTTTGAAGGAAGAGAATTAAGAGTTAACAGTGTAGAGTTGTTACAGAAAGAGCAAGAAGAGATGTCTACAAGGACTTTGGACTTGGCGGCTGCAGGGCTCACTCACTCCCTTGTGGGACGCTGAGAGAACCAGGGCAGTGGTTGGGATCTTACAACTTAGAGACGTGGTGGAAGGTCCCACCCAGTTGAAACTTGGATCTCGGAGGAGGAGGTTGTGCCGCTCAGCTACAGGGCGGGCCTGACAGTTCTGGGAAGCAGACCTTTGAAGAGCAGGCACTGGACAGCTGGTGGTGTGTCTGGTGGGCGCACGGTGAAGAAGCTGGGCCTACAGGTGCTGGGAAAACTGCAGACTGGATTCCGCTACTGTGCTGCTGCTGGGGAGAAGCTCCACGGGACAGGGATTGGAGGGGAAGGCCCCGGTTGCAGGCAGCAGGAGCGGGTCCCATCTTCCCCCCCGCTCTCTTGCAGTGTCTGTGGTCCCTGACCGGCTGAGCAGCGTGCGCCCTGTAGGTCACAGCGTAACTGCTTATTTGGCACACGTTCCTTGGGTCTGTGGAAGATTGGGCTGAGAGTGGGAAGTGAGGCTTCTGGGCAATGGGAGGAGTGAACTGTGTAACGGGGATGCTGAGTAGGGTGCGGGAACTCAAGATGACCAGCCTCCAAACCAGGGAGCTGCTAGGGCTTAATCCCTCATGTTAGGACACACAGCCCTTGACTTGATACAGCAGATGAAGACCCCGTGATAATTTTAGTCTCAGAGTGTGACTCCTTTGCAGGTTTATAAGATGATGTTAGTGTAACGTCGGGATAATTATGAGGATTTTGGTATTATTTAATCCTTCATGTAAAAGCATGGTTTGCTGCTGCTTATACCACGTGAGGATTCAGAGCTGTGCTTTTTACTTACATTTTAGTTTATTATGCTTGATTTTCTGCTTTTCCATTCTGCATTAGAAAAAATTGGTCATTTCAATAACTTTGGGACAGTATAGGAACCCTGAAAGGAACAGTGCACTATCCACAAGATGTACCAAGCTTCTGTAAACTCCTATCTTCACAAATATTAAAAATTTCACATCTTCAACATTTATTTGATAAAGGTTATGTAAACTATCTTTGATTAATATTTAATCACAGTATTTTAATCATACAGCTTTCACGATAGCCAGAAAGTGTGTTAACAGTAGCTATACCTAAGTGTATTCTGTACTTAAGGTAGAATGGGATTTTCTTGTAACTTGAATATATAATTGATATTACTCTGTTTTTACTTCTTTTAAATAGTGTCTTCTATGTCTTATATTTCAGATGCCAATAGAGGATCCGATTACCACTTGTCTTTCTCCCTCAGTCTATGATATGATCTGTAAACTCGGGTTTGAAGTCAGAGAAAGTTGTGATATCAGTGGCATTGTAACTCAGAGGGGTGAGGTGTGCTGGCCGAGCATCACAGCCTGTGTGACTTACACACAGTCAGGTCTGTACGTTCTCTGCACCCCAAGCAGCTGTCAGTGTTGTTCGATTTAAAGAGTCTTGGCTGTAACACTTTCCTTTCTGACCATTGTTTCTTTTAGTTAGAGGTTGTTACAATACAGACCTAGCTCAGAAGAGGAAAGGGATCAGGCGGCATGGGAGGGAATGAGGCCAGAGGAGCACAGGAGAGAGAGCAGAGCACGGAGCCGAGGAAGGCCTGTGTGAGAAGGAGGCCGCGGGGTCAGAGGCTCGCTCCGTGCCGACAGTCGACGAGAAGAAAGTGGGGTCCTAGGAATTCTGGGTAGGAAATGGCCCGTAGGGTGTTACACAGCTGTCTTAAATGTTCCAGGCTTTGTTGTACATGTTTTAGAGCAGGGATGTGGGTTGGGAAATTTAATAATAGTTACAGGAATCGCCAGCGAACATGCTGTGGCCCCAGAGTTTGTAACACAGGCACATGCACGGTGCGAGAGACCATGCCGGGTTGTAGTCTCGGTGCCGATTGTGAGCAGAATGGGAAACACAGCCCAAATGGTGCCGATTGTGAGCAGAATGGGAAACAACAGCCCAAACGGTGCCGATTGTGAGCAGAATGGGAAACGGCCCAAACGGTGCCGATTGTGAGCGGAATGGGAAACACGGCCCAAACGGTGCCGATTGTGAGCGGAATGGGAAACACGGCCCAAACGGTGCTGACCGTGAGCGGAACGGGAAACGGCCCACACGGTGCCGATTGTGAGTGGAACGGGAGACACGGCCCAAACGGTGCCGACCGTGAGCGGAATGGGAAATGGCCCAGCACAGCATGACTACCACAGAGGCACACGGAGGCGTTCTGCGGTGCTACGTGCGGTGCTATGAGGGGTGAGGAGCCTGTCGCCCTGAGCCGCGGGGCTAAGTGAAGGAATAGGAGGGCCATATCGTTGTGTTTGCTTGTGTACATATAAGTATTTCTTAATACCCCGAGGAATCAGTAACTGTAGCTGCTGTCGGAAAGAGAACTGGGTGGCAGAAGGGAGACCTTTGCCCTTTGATATTTTCTGGGTGTGAGCCGTGTGAATGTTGTTTCAAACTTACCAAAAAAGTAAAACAAAAAAATTCATATGTTCTAAAATAACATCATTGGAAATCTCACAGTCTAATAATGTCAAGTAAAAAAATCAGGTTAAAATATTATATATACAGTATGAACCCGATTTTGTATAAACTTACATACAAGTAGAGTGAAGAAAATATTTTCTCTTGATTAACCTTTTTGTATTTTCCAACCTAGTACACTTCTAACAGTGTATATTTCTTTTATTATCAGATCACCGCTGTGTAACTTATTTTCAGCAATATCTTAGTATCTTTATTGTAAGTTCAACTATAAACTGGTTGTTGATTTCATGGAAACTTCATAATTAAAGTACTTTTTCTTTGATGCTTAGGCATTTTCATCACATGATGAGGAGCTGTAGTACTAACACTGGTTTTCTTATCCCTGAAGCCCAGAGTCTGGATTACCGGGGCACTGTGCGGCTGCTGGGCCCTGTGTGTGAGGCCGTCCACCAACATTTGTTATCTCTGACCAAGGGGGAGTTTGACATTCGATACGTGCCGTGGCTGCAGTGGACAGCTTTTCCAGAGGTTTGGCTTGTGAACAACCTTTAGAAATGCAAGACTTTGCGGAGTCTGCTTAGAGGCCCTTGTTACCTATTCATCTTAAAGGGGTCTCCTCCATCCACTAAGCCCTCCGCCTGTGAAAAGGCCTGAAGGATGCAAGGGAAACTCAGAATGTTATGCAGTCGCCATGGCCTGAAACATCCTTGGAACAAAGGAAGTTTTTGGTTGCATTATCCATAGTGGGGTTGGAGAGTAGCTAGGTATGTGGGTGCTGGTCCTGGGACAGACAAGGATGGACTGCTCCAGAAAAAAGCAAAGACCTTATGGACAGACAGTAAGGTGTTCTTGAGACAGTGGGAAAAGGAAACCAGGTGGGGATGCTTGGCTTGTGGAGGGTGAGTAGAAGGGAGGAGGGGTAGTGTGGGGCCAAGCCCAAACCTTGTTTTGGCTGGTTTGTTGGTTGGTGCAAACCAGCCATTGCACTTGGCACATTTAATGACCACAGTAGGGCAGTAACTATAAAAGGTCTAATTATAAAGTACTTCAAATTTCCTGATGTAGATAGAAGGGTCATTGCTTCTCCCCTTGTAACAGCTCTTACGTGACAGGCTGAGCTGCCTCACGTTTATTGACTTTTAAGAACTAATCAGAATGGGAAATAAGATTTAGGATAAAATACTTGACTTTTCAGTTTACAGTTATGCCAGATTTATTGCTTTCAGTAAACACTTAAATGAAGAAAAAAAACGTTCAAAACTCCTTAGATACTAAACATTTTTTTGATTCTTTAGATATTGTTACAGTTGAGTCTTGGACAGTGCAGGGCTAAGGGTGCCCACCCTGTGCAGTTGTAAATCTGCATGTAACTTTAGACTCCCTCAGAACTGAACTGCTAATAGCTGACTCTTGACCACAAGCCTTACTGATAATGTAGTTGATTAACACATATTTTAGATGTTTTATGTATTACATACTGTATGCTTGCAATGAAGTCAGCTCGAAAACGTTATTAAGAAAATCATGAGGAAGAGAAAAATACACTTACAATACCGTACTGTATTTGTGGAAAAAATCCACATGTAAGCCGACTTGTGGAGTCCAAACCTGTGTATCTGTATAACAAATATGTACCCATACCAAGAAAGTCATGAAAATATACCAACTGAAACCTTTAGAAGTTTGAATTTCATAAATCGTATTGCTTGAGAAATACTTGGGGAAATGTTTCTTACTGATCACAAATTCTAACATATGTTTTGTTCTACACAGTTATTTCCTGAAATATTTGATGCTTTGGGAAGCCTTCAATGTCCCGCTATTCCTCTTGGCTTAATGAAACTGACGGCATGTCTAGAACGGGCTTTGGGTGATGTAAGTGTGAGACCTCTTTCTTTGGTTCACTAAAATATCTGAATGAACATCAGACTTTTACAGCTGTCCTCAGATTTCTTGATTTTAATTCTTGTTTTCCTATGAAATGTAATCATCTGGCACAGATGTTTAATATTTTTCTTTTTCAATGATTATGAAATCAAAACACTGGTGTCTTCAGTGCTTTTCTCCCTCAGTTGTACAAACAGTGGCTTTATGGGTGGGTTTTTTCTTCACATTGTTTGGCTCATTACAGTGCAACTGTAAGACAATCCTTGTTTGAATTGTAGGTATATTTACTGAATGGGAAGGAATGCCCCTTTCTTTTGAGAGATCTGCTTGCGTCTGAGGAGCTTGCTGCGGTCTTTGGGCGGTCTGTGGTAAGCTTGTTCACCTAAACCTGATAGAGTAGACACAACACAAAGCCGTTTATGGTAGCTCTACTTTTGTTCCTCAGAAATTGATGCTGCATTAGGAAAAAGTTGATGATAGCTGTAATTTGAGCATATTCTCCTTTCCCACCTCCCCTTTCAAAATTGCCACTTTCCAGCCACAAGACACACATCTCTTATCCTGGGTCTTAGCGTGGTATAACACCCTCTGGTGGGACGGCCTCGGGGGGCCAGCCGGATGAACAATTTGAACTCTACTGCTTTCATTAATTATACATTAATAATTATCATAATAACGTATTCTAGAATAAAATTTTGACCATTTAGGGAGGGATACTAAAGTTTTATCCTAAAATATCCATTTTTTTTTAACATGTGGGAATTTATCCCGTTGTGCAACTGTTCAGACTTACAGTGAAAAAAACTAGATGCCAATTTAAAACCATGCAGAGCTGTATACTTTGTGAAAATCTTCAACAGGCCACGTGACCAAGGCTGTTTAAGACGAATGAGTAACCTTTTGGCAACCGAGTGAGGCAGGATCAAGGTGCAGAAGAACGCCAGGTTAGCGTCCTGGGCAAAGCTGAGCCTGCCGAGCCAGGGCAATGTTTAAAATACTGGTGTAATATGTTACCAGCTAGACTTGCTATTTTTGGATAAGAAATCTGTTTTCAGTAAAGCTCTCCCACTTTACAGTGGTTCCTTGTCAGCTTAAAGAGCCCTTTGTTCAGTGGAGAATATGGAGTGAAGACCAAGTACAAAATTCCTGTAGTTATACTGAATTCTGAAACAGATCCATGTGTTTTGACCTGTTGTTTGTTGTCTGTCTGGGTGCTGTTAGCCTCTTGCTGACCTGCAGCCACTCTCAGCCCCAGATCCTTCTACTAGTTCATTGGCTTCTGTATTTCTGATTGCCCAGGTGGTATGAACAATTAATTAAAGTTAGTGGTAAACTAAATTAAAAATAAATACGGCTAAGAGAGTGTTATTGTGATTATTAGGATTAGGTGTTACTATTCAAGTATTAAAAATTGATGTGAGCCTGAAGAGTTTCTGGAGTTGCATGGAGAGACTGGTTGCCAAGGGTTCTGATGCTGAGTTGAAACCCTCTTTGTAACTTCTGCTCTGGCTTGTCCTGCCCTTTGAGAGAAACTCAGGATTTCTGCATCCATTTCCTCCTCTCAGCAGGAGTCCTTCAGGCATCTGAAGATGGCTTTCCTTCCTTCCCCATGTCTTCAGGAGGCACACTCTTCCTTCTCAGATGACTTGGTTTTGAGTTATTTTAGTCTCTGCATATCTTCCATTATCCTGAATCTGTTCCAAAGTGTTGCCCTCCAAACCAAGAGCAAGCCCATGGACATGCATGCGTCTTGCCATCTGATAAGCAGGATCCCCATAGTGGGCGTCTTTATAAGTGGAGGAGAGAAGCAGGTGAATGGTGAGCTTCCAGCCAACACTAAGTAGGGGAGGTCTGGGCTGGGAGCGTCTGTGGGCCAGCCCCTCCCCACGGGGTCTGCCTCCTGCGGATTTCCCATTCCCCACTCCGTGTTTTGTTTTATCTAGGTAGGAGGCATGCTTGATGTGCCGGATGAAACCAGCACAGCCTGGGACAGATCTCCTCCCCCTCTGTAGCTCATGGCCCCGAGACCTAGCTTTCAGCTCTGCATGCTTGTATTCCTCATCTGCACAGTGGGGTTAATAGTAGTGCCCTCCTCAGAGGTTGTTCTGAGGATGAATGAGTAATAAATACACACAAAATGTGTTTGACGTGTTAAATGCCCAGTAATGTTTGAATACTATTACGATTACTAGTACTACCGCATGCCAGGCAGAGTGTTGGGTCTGCTCTAAAGACGAAAGCAGACGTTCTCCCACTACTATATCAGTTTATTCCGTAGTTCGGTAAATATTTAACTGTTCAGTAATCTGTTCTTAACCTGATTAGATGGACGTGCTGAAAGTCTTCGTCGGGTCTCCATGTGGACTCAACCTGCGTAATACCCTGTGGCATGGCTTTGCCTCACCTCACGAGATCCCCCCAAAGTACGTTTCTCTCTTCTTTGATGTACTTAAGAGTTTGTTTTATCTTGAATTTTACATCGGGGAAAGATGAGAGTTTTGAGGCAGGAATTTGAAGATCATACTGAAGCCAGTGAACACCTGGTGTGTGACAGGGTTGGGACCCCCCTGACTTCCACCCCAGAGGCAGCTGTGAGGCCGAGCTTCGCAGAGGTGACGAGGGGCACTGCCTGCTGGGGGGTGGGAGACCCTGAGAACTGCACTCTCGAGCCTGCCAGCCCTCGTGTAGCTGAATTCCCACAGCCAGGGGGAGTTACCTGCAATTGAATGGTGTTGTACTTTCTTAATTTTAAACTTGTTCTTTTGAAAGTAAATCTCTTTATGTGTGTGACAGTGCATTTTTCTAACAGATCCTGTGATGTTTTGCACTAGATACTGTTCAATGATGATACTGTTGACCGTGGGATTGGGTCAGCTGCTGAAGAGTTACTTGCAACAAACTAAACTTGTGTTGGGACACCGACCTTTCATAGCTCTTACAAACCTTGAGGATTTGGCCATTTTCCCTGGCAAGTATTACACTTTACAGTTTCCCCTGAATGTGTCTTCATAAAGGTAGGGATAAAGTCAGGAAGTGGCATGGGGACTTGAGCCCTTTAGGTGGACTACTTACTCTCCAGAGGCAGGAGAAGATGAACTCTTGAAGCTGCGTAAACTTTGCTCCATAAAACCTCCCCTCCTACAGGGGTGTAGGGCTGTATCTCTGATGTAAGTCATGGCAGGAGTAACCCAGATCCCTTAGGTCTGGCAGTCTTAGCCTTTTTGTGCCACGGACCCTTTGGTAGTCCGCTGGCTGCCAATAATACGTACTTTTTAAGACTATTTTTTAGAGCAGTTTTCAGTTTGGAACAAAATGGTTAGGGAGGTGCAGAGATTCCCCTTAAGCTCCCGCACTGACACATGCAGCATCCCACCGCAGAGCACATTTGTTGCCAGGGATGAACCTGCACAGACACATCATCATCAGGCAGAGTCCATAGTTTACCTCAGGGTTGAGCCTTGTTCCTCTCTCTTCTGAAAATGTATCTTATTTTTCTTGGCGTGGTCAGCTGGTCAGCCCTGACGTCCTCTCCTCACAGCTGTGGCCTGAGTCATAAAGAGGCCATCGTGCGCCTCCCCTTGCCCCAGGGGCGCCACGGTCACCTACGACCCGTGGGCCTCCTGCCCTGAGTCCACTTACGTCGTTCTTCAACTGATTAGGGTGATTGTGCTTAAAACTGTGTTATTTTGCAGACGTTACTTCTGAGGTACTTTCAGTGTTAGAAGAAGTGGTGAGGAAATCCACTTTCATATTAAAGGTCATGTTGCCGTACTGGGAAGCTGCATTAATCGGGTTTAGGTCACACAGGTAAGTGAGGAGGCTGGTCTCTCTCCAGGACAGCTGAGCTTAAAATGCCTTCACAGTGCTGACTAAAACATTACGCATCAGCCTTTTGGTGTAGTCAATACCGATAATCATTGTTTGGAATCAACTTTTCGGTGTCATTTGAGTTCTTACTGTGAGAGAACCGTGTGTCCTGTGTTAAAGAATCCTGCAACCAGGAGGAGGTAAGTTCGACTCTGTTTTCTGGGGAGCAAAGCAGATGCACGTGGACGTTGTGAGGCCCACGGCCTTTGCCTCCCTTCAGGTTCTGTTGTCTGTGCGTTCGTTCGTACCTTGAGAACCCACCCAAATCCTGGAATTTGAGTATTTCTTACAAGTAGTGGGAAGAATTGGGCAGATCTTTGATGACATTTTATTCTGGAGCTCCTCGTGTCAGAACAGTGGAAAATAGATTTAAACTCACGAGTCTAAGGAGACTGTGATTCTGCATTGTTTCTCATGTTATCGAGTACTGTCACCCCTCCTTGCCTTGATCACACATTGGTAATATCTGGAACAAAGCACCGTTATTTGGGGTCGGTGCCAGTGTTTACTTTCAAAGCTTGAGATTTGCCTATTTTACTTCAATTTCACAGGTTTGCTGACTGTGCCATGTTGTTACTGACACAGCTAGAGACGGGACTCAGGAGAGTTTTTGCCGCTGTTAACCAATGTCCAAAAAGACTTCTGACCGCTGAGGTACACATACTTCTGTGATTGATGGTGGTTGCCACTGTATTGACAGTTCTCTGCCTAATTAAAAGTTTTTAATGTCTCATTTTTGTTTACCATTAAATGAATTTTTTAGCTAAGAATTTTCTTTGGAAGGCTTGAGTGTTGTTTTTTGTGGCTTCCTATTATAATGATTTTATATGGTTTATAATCATTTGTGATTGTTTTTGATCGTCCTGTATTTCCAAGTATTTCAGACTTGTCAGGAAAGTAGAAATGGCGTGTAGCATTGTAGCCGCAGGACGCAGCTCTGGGCCAGAACTGCCAGGGAGCTTGGGGAAGCTTCTGGGTGGCCCTGTGCCCAGTCACCTGGCAGCGGCAAGGGTGTGTGTGTGTCGGGGCTGCACCTGTTTCTCTCACTCGGTCAGCTTCCTCTTCCGCCCCTTTCCAGAGGCATTCCTCACAATTCTGTTCCCAACCCTGTGCTCCCTGGATCTGCCACGGGAGATCTTACTCCCTCCCACGTCTTAACCTCCCTGCTTCCAGGGGAACAAGGATTGGAAAATACTTCGAACCAATGAAAGCGAAAGCCTGACACAGGCTGAGCTGCTGATGCGGCCGGAGAGGTGTCGGGACAGCAGTTTGTCCTGTGAACGGCAGGTGCCGTCCCAGGCAGTCGTCTCCTCGAACTCAGCTCGCCCTCCTCCCGAGTTAGGCTTACCCCGTTTGCTGAACGTTTTCAGGTCTCAAACTACTTTATTGCTACAAAGCTCGCTTTTCCTCCCACAAATTTGTTCTCTGGTGTTCCTTATTATCGCCGTCTGCTCAGGCGCTGGGTACCAGCCTCCAGCACCACCTTGTGCTGCAACCCCTTCATCCACTCAGTGTCCAGCCCCACCCGCCCGTTCTCAACGCTGAGGCCTCACCCGGCTCCTCTCCCCGTGATAAATATTCTTTCCTGGACTCATCTGCTTAGAACTTTAGTGGCACCCCAGTACCTGCAGCGAGCTTCGAGCTTGCGCGGGGCATCCCGGGGACCCCATGTGGACCCGCCTTCCTCCGGTCTGTCTCCTCTCCTGTCGGATTCCTCCAGCATAACCAAGGCCCCTCGCCAGTTCCAGAACATGTCTGTTCACAGGCTTTGCCCACTGTCCCTGCCAGACCGCTTCAGGCCACGTGAGTGACCTCCCAGAGCCTCGACCCCTCCGATGCAGCAGCTTCTCTTCCCTGCGTCCTGCCTCTGTTTTATCTCCAGGCAGTTCTGCTGTGCCTTCTGTGCCTGTTTGTACAGGTTTCTGATGCAGGCTCCTTAGGAGTGCAGTGCTCACGTTTGTGTCCCCTGATGCCCACGCCTGGTTCCTTTCCCTGGGCAGTGCCAGGAAGTGTCGTGCAGCGTCTGTCTCCAGCAGAGAGAGCGAGAACCCCGGTTGTCACAGCTCTCGCTCGAGTATGCTTGGGATTACTTCACAGGGGTGTAAATAGATTCAGTCATTTACATGTTATTTGGCCACACAAGTAAATAGCATGACTGCTTTTTATCAAACAATGTCTTAAATTGTAGGCCAGGCTCTTGTTCAGAATAAACATGGCGTCAACTTATTTGTAAGTTGCACATGTGAAAATGCTTTATAAAGCTGTAAAGTGCTGTGCACAGGTGGTTACTGTTTCCTGAATACTTACAGCATAAGGCTCTGAGGTCAGTGGAAGATCGAAAGATGAGTAAGACAGTGTGACTTTGAGAAGCTTATGTACGAGGTGTGAGAGAGAAGACATTTATACCCATTCCTTAAACAGGGTAGAAGTTAATGCCTGCAGTTTATGGAGATCAGTGAAAAGTTCAGTATTTAGTAGGCAGTTGGATACTTCGACTAGAGCTCAGGAAAAGTTTTAGGGTCAGTAGCATACATTTGGGAGCTATAAGGATACAGACTTTATAGGTCTCTACGTCGTAATAAATGCTGAAGGAAATTTTTTAATGTTAAATTGAAAATACGTTAAATGAGACACTTTTTTTGAGAGCTGGCTTCCACAGAATGCTGATTTCATCACAGTGTGTGTAAAATCTTACTGAATTCCCCAGCAGCCTTTCAGGATGGGCACTACTCATGTCCCGTTTTGCAGAGAAGCCTAGGTGGGGAGGTGCGCAGGGTCTCGCTTCCAGGGAGCACGGAAGCCGGGAGTAGATGTTGAGAGAGCCAGCTGCAGAGCCTGTGTCTGTAGACGGGACCAACCACACCAGGAAGTGTGCAGAACACAGGCTGATTGTGGGAGGGCACATCCAGTTATGCTCATTTGCGTGTGTGTGTGTGTGTGTGTGTGTGTGTGTGTGTGTGTGAGTTGTGCTGTGTGATGAGAAGAACCTGAGCTGAAGCACGTGGTGAGCAGAGTTTGAACAGGGCCCCACTGCCAGGCTCACCGTAGGTTCCCCTCTTCGATGATGTGCCCCGATGCCAATGGCATTCTTCCCAAGGTGCTGCTATGTTTAGATTTATTTTCAAAAGAAGGTTTCATATTTGTGGCCATGTGCTAGAATTGATTTTTCTCCTTTGAATACTTACATTTTGTTTTAATTATTTCTTTTCTTTCCTTTTCTGAAGTCCACGGCTCTTTATACCACCTTCGATGAAGTAAGTAAACTTTTAGGGAGTATCTGGAAACAAATAAAACATTGTTTTTTACTACACAGAAAATGTTGATAATCATACCTGCAAAAAACCTCACTTTATTATAAAGTGTAGTTTTCAGGCTAATTTTGAGATCCAGTATGATTAACCTAGTTTCTGAAGTTAAGGAAAGAGCAACGTTGGAAAATGCTAAGAGATACTAACATTATATGCTATGATTATTTAGATGTTACATTTTAGATTTAAGATTAACACTTCTTTTGCACATGAAATATACATGAACTGCGGTTGTAAGTGCAACGATGCATTTAATCTGTGAATTGGGTGTGTGAATCTAAAGCTGAAAATCTAGACTAGTAAAAATTGCCATTAAAAATATCTTTTATCACTTTAGAGTATAGAGGCTTTTATGTGTGTGTAATCCTGGATAATAATTCTCATATAGCCTGAAGTGTGATTTCACAGAGTTAGCTGACAGGAGGAAACAGGGAGAGTCTCTGTAGAGAGATTTGGGTGTTTAGATTACTTTGCCTTTAAGAGAACTCTTAGATCCCTTAGTGAATGGGTGGGGGGTGGGATTGGTAATGTGCCTGTTTACCTGTAGACTTTATTCCACGAGGTAAATAATTTGCTATAATTTAATACATAATATGTTTGATGCTGTGAGGATTAAATTAGATAATGTAGTCCTGTCTGTATGGGATTAGGGTCTATTGCGTTGGACTGGGTGGTTGGGTTCCAAACTGGTGTGTTAAGAAGTGGTGTATAAGGTAACTGTGATTTATACTTCTATCCACATACACACACACACACACACACACACACACGAACACACACGTAAGTACCTGTAAATACACACACACTTGAACACACATACATGCGTGTACTTCTAGATGTACGTAAACACACAGATGATACAGAAGCGTTATGCACAGATGTACACAAATCTGCAGAAATACACGTATACACATGTAATACACATGAGTGTATGTATGCACAAATACACAAATATACATCCACACACATCCATACACATCCACACATAAACACGCACACGTGTGTACGCATTACCACACATATCCATATATGCATATAAGTACACATAAACACCCATGCACACACAGTTAAGATACATACATATTCATATGTATTCCTGAAGTCATCATACTGGTTAAGAAAACGGGTGGCTGCTCTGTCTTTAAGACTGTCCTTATTTCCTTTGCTTGGGCTTCTGTAGCATGTTGTAACCAAAGATGCTCCATCCTTTGACTCTGAAGGTTCTGTATGTACATGTGTGTGCACTAATTAATTAATGTATTTATTTTTGGTGTTTTAGATATTGGCAAAACACTTGGATGATGGTAAAATCAATCAGCTTCCTCTTTTCCTTGGAGAGCCTGCAATGGTAAAATACTAGGCCTTTTCCGATCTCATATTCCCCTATTTATGGATGTGGTTAGCACTTCTCCAAAATGGAGTTAATCTTGGCTTGTGATCTGCTCACAAAGAGCGCTTCTGAACCACCCCCGCACTGTCTCAATGTCACGCTCGCGGCCGACTGCAGCTTGGGCTTTAAGGCCCTTTCTCTGAGGCCTGCTGCTGGAGCTGCCCTGCCCCCAGGTGGCCTGTGAGTGTGTAGCGGGGACTGTGGTGCTGGAGGGGGCAGATAGTGATGTCCAGCCGGGTCCGTTTCCTGCTTAACACTGTTGTTTTTTTTATGAAGCTATTACAGTGGCTACTTCGGACTCTCAGTAGAGTTTTTATATTTCTTTTCACTGAGCATTATTAGCAGCCTAGGTTCTAATGTGTGACATTAGTGGGATTCTGCGCGGTCTCTGGGTGTCGTTTCTGGCAGCAGGAAGTGAGGGTGAGTGGGCTAGTTTATCTGACATTTGTCTCCCTCCTGAATCTCCGGGACTGCTCTGTCCACCAGCCACTCGCCCGGCTCAGCACTTCTGACTCTTTCTGCTCCAGCCTGCACTGGGGAAGAAGCAGCTGTCCTCATCAGGGGGGCTTTACAGAGGAGGGCACAGATCTGAGAGAGGCCTCAGGACAGGGAGGGGCAAGGGCTGTGTTGAGGTAGGAGGAAAGTTAGCTTCCAGACGTGGACACCTCTGCCTGTTCCTTCAGTGGGATGTGAGTAAGACCTGGTGAGTTTTACTAAAGCACTGGTGCTGTCCACTTCCTTGTCAGTCCTCCCCAAGCAGCGGGGGGCAGTTAGAGAGACCAGGGCTTCCCAGGGAGGGTCCTGCCCCCAAGCGGCGGGCTGCAGTTAGGGACCGAGTTCCCAGGGAGGAACCCAGCATGGAACCTCAGCTGTATTACCTTGATTAACTGTCTCTGAAGCTCAGTTTCCTCATCTCTGTAAGCCGACACTGCTGTTCCCTAGATAGGTCAGGCGTGGCCCATTCTTTCTTCCCTCAGTTGAGAAAACTAACAAGATATTTTCTCTGTTTATATTCTGAAAGGAGTTTCTTTGGGATTTCCTAAACCATCAGGAGGGCCCCCGTATAAGAGACCATTTAAGCCATGGGGAAATCAACTTACCTGAATTTCCGAAAGAGGCAGCAAACCAATTGCTTGCATTTTCCGTTGTACTTTTACTCAGATTCACTGATGAAGATCTGTCAGCAGCCCTTAAGGTAATGTATAAGGAAGAGAACCATTAGATGCACTGTTACTCAGCTGTGACAGAATACAACTTATTTTCAGATGTAATTAACCCTTAATCACCTTTTCTTTAAATTTGTGTGAGTTATAGTATGCCTCCATCAGAACACGTAATTGTGGCTTGATTTGATTATGTGCATATATTTACTGCAACAGGTAAACTGATATTGTGTGATCAAACCAAAGAACCAGTATAAAACAAATTAAATATATCAGAAAATTTTACAAGTGACAAATTGGTCGGATGGAATATTTGCATCAATCAGTAAACTAATTCTTTTATTATTTTATAACAAATAATTTGGGTTAGTTATTGATATTCTAATCTGTTTTTCAAATTATGCATGTCACAGTTACTGTAAAGATTGTTGAGAGGTTCAGACAAAACGGAAAACGTGGTAGGAAAAGTGACAGCACTCAGGAAGGCCTTCTTGTGGGGTGAGCACTGTTCGCGGGTGGGCATCTGGCCCACGAGCACACGGGAAAGCTAGAGGAAGAAACCTGTTAGTGATCAGCACTCCTTCTACCTGATTTCTACCAGCCGTCTGACATTTTTTATCAGTATATCCTCATGTATATAAGCTATCCCTCAAGGATGGGTGAGTTCTGACGTGTGGAACGCTCCTGATTACAGTGTCTCAAGTAAACACCCTTGTTCACTTGGGCACATGTGTAAGTGAATTTGTTCAAGTACAGTTCTGAAGCAAATGTACCAGTAAGACCATGTTTTTATCTCCATGTTTTGTGTTACTTTGCTTTTATTTGTTGGAAATGTGATTCTTTTGTGAATGATTAATGTCTTTTGCTCCATTTTATGCGTTTTTATGGTTTATTAGCCGCATTTACCACTCCAATGTTTGTGTTGCTCCTTATTTGTCTTGAAGTTTTGAGGTCTTTTTATTTTGGCTTATGCATTTGGAATTATTCTTTTTTTTAAAAGCTTTTTTTTTTTTAAGATTTTATTGTTTATTTGACAGAGAGAGACACACAGAGAGAGGGAACACAGGCAGGGGGAGTGGGAGAGGGAGAAGCAGGCTTCCCGCGGAGCAGGGAGCCCGATGCGGGGCTCGATCCCAGGACCCTGGGACCATGACCTGAGCCGAAGGCAGACGCTTAACGACTGAGCCACCCAGGCGCCCCTGGAATTATTCTTAAAAGACTCTGCATTCTAAAATTATGAACATATACATGCATTTCCCTGGTACCTTTATAGGGTTTTTTCCTATTTACATCTTTTGATCCAGCTGGAATTTTTCATCAGGGAGTGAGAGAATCTAGGTTTACTTGTTTTTGTTTTTTTGTGTTTTTTTTTTTCTTTCTTAGACAAAAGGCTTGCAAGTTGGCCTAAGAGCATCTGAAAGACAAACATCTTGGGGCCCCTGGGTGGCTCAGATGGTTAAGCGTCTGCCTTCGGCTCAGGTCATGATCCCAGGGTCTTGGGATCGAGCCCCGCGTCAGGCTCCCTGCTCAGCGGGAAGCCTGCTTCTCCCTCTCCCTCTACTACTCCTCCCTGCTTGTACTCTCTCACTCTCTCTGTCGAATAAATAATAAAATCTTTAAAAAAAAAAAAATGAAAGACAAACATCTCTGTAGTGTGTGCGGTGGACTTGGTCTCCTTGTGTACCCGTACTCACCTTTGTGACAGAGTTCCGTGTCTGTCAGGTTACTTTCCCATCTCTCTTCTCTTTCAGAATTTCCCCACCTCCTCCCTATTAGGATTGTAGGCAAACTTGTTAAAATAAACACAAAGCCCAAGACTAACCAAGCAATAAACAGGAATGGGCTATTGATGGATTCATTTAGGAGCAATTGATGGTTTTTACAATAGTGAACATTATTCCCAAACGTGGTGTCTCTGTGTCCTCAGGCTTCCCTCGCAGAGCCTCCCCCTAAGTGGCAGTGCCATCCAGAGGCCAGAATCTCCTGTCTTTACTTGTCCACGTCCTCCTGTGCCGTGTGCTGGGCCAAGCTGCCCTCCCTGTGGTGGCCCCCTGTTCTCTTGTTAGTGCAGCAGCCAGAGGGGTCCTCCGTAGGCCCTCCCTCCCCCCTCCCCCGGTCTCAGACGAGAAGCCGTGTGCTCTGCCAGGCCCGGGGCCTCTTGTGGCTTCATCGCCAGTCTTCACACGTGTGAGTTGCAGCTGCCCCACGAGGAGGTCGGCCCGCCTGCCTTGTGCACAGAACCTCTCTGCTGTGCGGTAGGACTTGGGTCTTTGAGCAAACGAAAGGTTTGCATTTGGATATTTAGTGACTCTCTTTGTGCTCTTGAGAATTCTGGGGAGTTACTGCTTCTGTGTGGGAAAGCGACTGATTGATCATTGGTATATTAAGTTAGTCAGCTGTCAACTCACTGACTTTTCTGTTTCTGATAGTTTTTAGTCAGCCAGTGTGGATTTTCCAGCCACACAGTTATATCAGCTGTAAATAATGTTATTTTTACTCTTTTTTTCAACATTTACATGTTTAGCAATGTGACTCTTTTGGTCGTACTGATTTTTAATGTTTAAATTCCCATTCTGTTTTTTTTGGAGACATTCTTATTTTCCAGTTTGGAGCCTTTCTTCTTTCTTATGTATTTCTAGTGCCACTGATTTTGGACAAAGAGCAGATGTGGCCTTTGTTATTTATCATTGTTAATTGGTTTCATTTAAAACACCTCTGTTGGTTATGATTTGACCACTGTCTCAGACCTGTTCTGGTGAAGTCTTGCTCTGTTATAGCTGAAGGAACATGGTGAGACGGGGGCTCTCGTGTGACTCGAATTCAGCAGGAGAAAACCAGGGGCCTGACCACATGTCGCGGTAACCCTTGTCTGTTTTTTCTGAACCAGGAAAAAGCAGCGATAAAATCACTGGTTGGTCTTGCAGAGGGTTACCACGCCCACTTCCACCCAGTTTCTCAGCTTAAAAAACAGGTGAGCCGCACATGGGCTGTCGGGAGGGGTGTGCACGGCACCTGTGGCAGAGATGCCCACCGGTCCAGGCGGCCTGGCAAGCTGGACCTCAGGGTTGCGACTGGAGGCTGTGCTCAGGAGGTGGCCTTGGCCACACAGCTCTGTCCCTCCGAGCCTCACATCCCCTGTCCAGCAGAACAGTAATGATGGTGTTTGTTGTTTCCGGTGATTTTAGTACTTGAGGTGTGGCTGCTGGGTCAGCAGGTTGTTGCCTTAACTCGGGCAGTGTTCCTTTTACCAGGTGAGACCAGAGCTTGTTCCCGTGTAACTTAGATCATGGAAACCACAGACTTTGAAGCATTTCTGCCAGGAGGTTCCAGTATGGAAATGAGCTTGGGTGCTTTATTTTCCACGTAGCTGGATATGAGTGTGCAAAAGGGGCAAGAATGGGGTGGTGTCTAAGAGTAGAATAGTCATGATCGTTCTAATGCAGACATTCATTAGTGAGTTGGCCTCTAATGGAAGCTGTGGGGTCCGCACATAAGGGTTTAGGGAGAGATTTACAGCGGCAGCTGGAAGAAACTGCCTGAGAGGACAGAGTGTCACTGATGACGTCTTAAGAGAAATAGTGTCAGCTAGAAGGGGCTGTCGGCAGTGGGCGTGCGGAGAGTTCTAGAGGTGTTTTACTCTCCTGGTGCTACGTGAGGGAAGAATTCAGCCCCAATACTTGTGCCCCGTGGGTTCTAGTTCAGCAGCGAGTCATCGGGCTGCAAGGGAGGACGCCAGGTGTCTGCAGCACCCTGACCTGCAGAGTCAGAAGGGAGGAGGGAAGGGACAGAGAAGGGACGTCCCAGAAGGAAGGGAAGCTTCAGGAAGGCAGGATTTGCCTGTAGACCTCCGCCCCAAATCTCCAGCCTCACGAGCCCGCCTGCTCCTTGGCCGCTGCCGTCACGGCCCTGGTGGAGGCCCCTCTGTGCCCCCAGTGGGTGTCTCTGACCCTCCCCTCCCCTGCAGCTTCTTACTCTTGCTGCCCGTGATGTATTCCTTTTTTGTTTAGCGGTCTTGCACCCCATTCTTTTTAAGGTCATTGCTCTGTTTACAGCTGCATAAATTACCCACATTCAGTGGTGTCAGTGTTTAATTTGCTTACACTTTCGTGAGTCAGAGATTTGGCATGGGCTCCCCTGGTTCGGTGTTCCATCTGAGAAGACGAGAAGTTGGTGCGGCGCCTCCCAGTGAACCAGGGAGAGGTGCCGCCCTGTCTGACCTGGCTTCCAGAATCACACACACCCTCACTTACATTGTGTTGTCGGGGGGAAGGCCACTCACCAAAGCATGTCCTGATTTGGGAGGGGGCGAGGACCTCAGCTCTCAACAGCAGGGGCGTCAAGAGTTTGCTGGTACGTTTTACAACCGCTCCGCATATTAACTACCTTCTAATCTCCTGTTAATTTTACTGGCCTTCGCTTATCTGATGGTATTGAATAACTGAGACCCACCACCTAGTTTTAAAATGTTGTAAGATCTGTAACAATTTTGCCAATATATATCTCCTAGAAAGTGATTGCTACGTTCATAATGGTTACAGAAATATTTTCCAGACGGTTACTGTAAAATCTTTAAAAGCAGTAGGACATTTTCCTCTCAGGTGCTGAGCTGTGAGAAGAGCATCAGGGTTTGGCCCCTCCTGCCTTTGCCTGAAGAGGCCGAGGAGGCAGCCAGGTGAGTTCTGTCCGGGGTCATGCAGACCTCACCATCCCCAGTGGATGCCAACCTCCATGTGAGGTCCCAGCGGCGTCATGGGAAGACGAAGTGCAGGGGGCTTGCTAGGCCTCGGTGAGCAGGGCAGGCCACTCGGTGGAGGCGCAGGGGGCGCGGTCTCCCCGCTGAGGGCCCAGCCCGGTGGTGGGCCATTTGGGGAGACCAGGATCACAGGAACAGAGGCAGCCTTTGTGGGGAGGGGGATGGGGTCCACTCGAAGTATTTAGCGGGTGATTAGACATAGGATCTAAAGGTCAGGAGAGAAGTAGGGATGGAGAGAGATTTTGGAGTCAGGATATAGTAGATCCATCTTGTAGAAATAATACTTAGACGGTTTGTTGCTTATCTTTTGTCTACAATGTATGTTGCTTTTAGCCTATCATTTATTTTTACCATTGCCTCTGACAGTGGCTTTTTCATTTTATATTTGGGAAAACTACGTTGCAGATTAAGTGAACCATTAAACATTTGCACGGCACTGCTTGGGCTGTATCTGCATATCTTCTGTTTTTCAGATTAGAAGGTACTTCTGAAACACAGGCCTGCGAGGCTTTAATCACAGAAATCCTGAGAGCGCTGCCCCCCCACTTGCCCGAGAGCCGTGGTGTTGTCAGCGACTGGGACAGTCTTTCCGCCGAGAGGTGAGTCTCCGAGAAGTGTCGGGAATTGCTGGAGCACTGACCAGCCGTGTCGGGGCCCCACACTCAGCTGTTTTCTGTGTCGTAACGTTTGTGAGCTTGAGGCAGCATTCGACCCCACTGTGGTTGTGCCGCCAGAGACCGGGGAGCCCACCCTCCATGGCTTGTGAGGCGTTGCTGTGCCTGACGGAGCTCTCCTGCACATTCTGCCCCCCACAATTAAGTGTGCGTGCGTGTGTGTGAGGCCTGCAGAACTGAGCACACTGTGTAACGACCACTGCTCCCCAGAAGCTGACCATCGGGGGGCCCGGGCAGTGAACATACCCCATGAGAACTCGCACTCTAATCCCCAGGTGGCCCCAGGTGATCCAGGAACTCTGCGGCACCCCTGTCCCAACTCTCTTCTGTCCCAGAACCGTTCTGGAAGTGCTCACTGTGCTCCGAAACATCAGCACACATTGCGCCCGCGTGTCCAGCCAGTTCGCTGCCTCTGTGGAGCTGAGATACCAGCAGTGGGTGGAAAGGAGGCTGCGCTCCCGGCAGAGGCAGACCTACCTGCACATGCTCACTAGGTGTGTGGCTCGTGGGCCTGGTCCGGAGACGCCCCACTGGGCAGGGGTTCTGTTGGGATGCAGCTCTGATTCCTACTTTCAGGGGAATACTCACTTGCAGAGGACACATAGTATGTTAAATACTGTTGTGATTTTGGTGTGAGAGAATATGGGTGCCACTGACCCAAATGAATATCTGGATTTAAAATATTAATAGCAAGTTAACTTGGGTATGCCAGCATTCTGGTTCCTTACCTGTTGTGTATTTTAGGATGTTCTACATCCTTAAGAAATTACAATTTTGGACAAATTCCTGGAACTCTGGGTTGAGTGGTATCTGTATCTATAAAGCTTTTAACGGGTTTTCCTTGGCTGCTTCTGAAAGGTACACTCTAACCAGCAGTTTATAAGATGATGCCTGTTACGTTACATCCTTCCCCAAACGGTATATTTCAGAAAAATTCTCTACCGGTTTCATGAGCAAGATAGTATCTTACTTTGATCGGAATATCTTTGTGTCCTGGAGACATTGAACACATTCCCAGGTTTGAGCCATTTGTGTTTCTTCTTGTGAGAGTCATTTACCAAATACCAGACTATAGGACAGACGCTGCAGACAGAGACCCAGAGCAACTGCTGGACGCAGAGCCGGTGCCGTCTTGCTCCTGAGCCGTGGTGGCTGGGAGGCCGGCGGCGGCTGGCCGGCACTCTGGGGGCAGGGGCTGGGGCCGGTGGGCTGTGGTGGGGCGGGGGCCCACAGGGAAACCGCCACAGAGAAGCCTTGAGAAGGCTGACTTCAAGTTCCCTTGAAAAGGAGTTTTCACCCATGAAAGTTCAAAATTCTTAAGTTTGTCAAATTTTAACTTCATCTATTTTAGTATTAAGCTTCTGTCTCCTGTGCTTTACCTGATTTTATTGCTGATTGCCCTGGAATTGGTCAACATTCATGTGGTTCATGGAAAAAATACTTATGAATATCAACAGTATCTAAAGTAAGTGTGTTGTATGTATAAGAAATGAAACTGTTTTAGTAAATTTAAGTGATTTTACTTCTATTGGTTATTTTATTTTATTATTTTTTTAAGCCCACAGTCTTGGTTGGCTCTTTACTGTTTTTCTCTGTGGATTTTGGTGCAAGTTTGTGAACCTTTAAAACTAACACCCATGTAGGCTCATTTCAGAAAATTAAGTGTGATGAGCTTGCAAACGCTTTCAGAATTCCTCTGTGTCCTAACACCACCAGCATGCAGAGAGTGATATTGCAGGTAGCACGTACCTCGTGTTTAAAGTAAATGTGAAAGTAGGACTGGTATTTTCTTAAGGAAACGTGGAACCCAGGTGGGAACCAGGGAGGCCGCCACGCAGAATGTTATGGATCGGTGGCTCCAGGTGACCCCCCCGCCCCCCCATTCTGCACTGGGGGGGTCGTCTGTGGTAGGCCATCTGAGCGTGCATGGTGGGAGTAGCGCCCCGGCCCCCGGCCCCCAGCACTGCGTGCCGGGAGCTCCACATGGTGACAGTCCAGAATGATGCAGACGTTGCCAGATACAGTCATCCCCAGCTGAGGACCACTCTCTAGATGAAGGATCTGTGGACTTTCATTATATTATTCCTTTAACTTCTAAGTTTGAAAATACTCAGAATTAGAAGTTGGGGAATGTTGCCAGCCTACTTGGCAAACTGGGGAGAACTCGGAAAATGGAAGCAGGACCTGACCCCACCTGTTGGAGAAGAGCCCGGGAACCGTTTGATAAACACCTCAGCAGTGCTGTGTCCGAGTGGAAAGTGTCTCCCGGGAGGCAGTGCACCTGCATTGCGAGGGCAGGTGTGGGATGCCCGGGGCCAGAGAGGCACCCCTGTGGGGCTGCAGGGCCTGCACGCTCCCCATTGTGTGCATTGCATGCTCACATGGCATTTAATCCAGGCAGTCTCTGACGCCTTTTCTGGAATGCAGTTCCATCACGTGCAACCATCCTACCTGATGTGAGAGTGAGTTTAACAAGGTGCTCGGGCGTGTACCTCGTCTAGGGTCCAGCCACCTCTCCAGGGACACGTACGATTCAGCATCTCTTCCTCTAGCTTCTGTTCTCACTTCCGTTTTGCATGTGGTTCTTTTATTTGAATTTACAGACAAAAATCAAGTGCAGTACTTTTTTTTTTTTTTTGAAGATTTTATTTATTTATTTATTTGACAGAGAGAGACAGCGAGAGAGGGAACACAAGCAGGGGGAGTGGGAGAGGGAGAAGCAGGCTTCCCGCGGAGCCGGGAGCCCGATGCGGGGCTCGATCCCAGGACCCTGAGATCATGACCTGAGCCGAAGGCAGACGCTCAACCGACTGAGCCACCCAGGCGCCCCTTAAGTGCAGTACTTTAAATTCCAAAATGAAAAGAGTGCATTTAAATCATTGTTGCATTTTATAATAGAATAAAGAAATTAATTTCTTTTCGTTAAAACAGGTTCTTAAAGTCGATCTTGCAGTACGTGGAGAACCTGGTGACTTACACCAGCCAACAGGAGAACAAGTGGAACAAAACGATCAATCTTACACATACAGCTCTGTTGAAAATTTGGACTTTCAGTAAGAAGAAACAGATGTTAATACATTTAGCCAAGAAATCCACAAGTAAAGGAGGCTTATGAAAACCCTTAGAAGTCAAGATGCTTTTGGCTACATCTGAAAACTCAGCCTGAATAGGCTTTACTAGCATGGAAATTGAAAAGTCAAAGGTAGAGTGGATTGCAGGCTCTGATTGATCAGGGATCAAGTTCCGTTTCTCTGCAGTTTTCTGAATTGCTGTTTCCGCGTTTGTGTGAACCTCAGGCTGGGTACCTTCCTGGGACCAAATGGCCGCAGCATTTTGTCCACCATCACACAGTGTCCAGGGGGAGCTTTATACCCACACGTCACCCAGCAAACTCTTGAAAATGGTCACTGTGGCCAGGTCATCCGGCCCCCTGTCTTTACCGGCCAGACTGGGCAGGCTCCACTCCTGAGCTACCACTGGGGCACGGAGAAAGAACGTGGGCCAGTCCAGCCTCATCCCTGGAGCGGGGAGCAAGGTTGGATGATCCAGATCCTATGGGACAGAGTTGGGGAGGAAGGTATGGTGGGCAGACGGTGCCAGGCAGCAGGTTTGCCCGTCTGTGGCCAGGAGAGTAGGAGCCCTGGCACATGTGTGGGTAGGAGGGTCTTGCGTAGGAGTGGGGAGAGCCGAGGACTGAGTGCAGTCGCTCCAGTCCTGCTCGGAGAGCTGGAGTCTGATTTCCGAGGGCTCTCTCTGGGCCACTGCAGTCGTCGGGAGCATCCATCATCGGCAGCTTCACACCCGCCGTGAGGCCGTCCCCAGCCGCAGGTCTGCATGTGCGCTGGGCCTCGCACAGTGACCTGTGGCCTCTCCACCGTCCCTACCTCCCAGGCAGGTTCTAGCCCATGCTCTAATACAAGGAACGGTGCCCACTCTGTGTGTTTCAGGCTTCTCTGCTGTCGGAGAGCAGTGCCGAGGAGACCTCAGAGGGAAGGGGTGGCGCTGTGGGAAGACATTGCAGCACATTCCATCCATCCCTTTGCCAACTCAGCCCCCACCACCCCTTTTAAACTAAACTCTGGGTAAGGACAGAGAGCGCCGAGCTTCTGCCCCTGCGATGTGGCCGCCTCTGGTGCAGGTGTAGACCCCGGAGCCCCCGCGTCCGGGCTTCTGCCCCTGCGACATGTTCTTTTCCAGCGGTCACACCCTCCCTTGGACATACTCTAATTTAAAAGATAATTTATGGTATTAGCCACTCTAAACCCTTCTGATGTTAGAGCTCAATGAAAAAGGGGAAATAAAAGAAAATATATTTACCAAGCACATGAGGAGATAGGTGGAACTCCTGTGCTTTTGCACCTGGTGAGCTGGCAGATGTTGGTATTAAAAATTCCCTCTTCTATAACTCATTCCATGTTACTCTGCCCTCAGTCACTCACTTCTGTTGGTGGTACCTCACCTGGTGGGTTGACCCAGACTTTATTCCTGAGAGGTCTCCCTCCAAGACGTCTTCCTGGTTTGGGCAACTCGTTTTCCATTGGTTCTGATTGCTGGAAATGGGAATTCTAGGAGGTTCCCCAGAAGATCTCTTAAATTCCAGACACACACCTGCCTGCCCCTGTCTGGCAGTAGGCCTGTCCCCAAGGGAGTGGGGAGCAGTGGCCTAAGCTGTGACAGTCAACCGGCTTTGCCTTTTGGTTCGTTGGCATGAGGTGTCCAGTACAGCCGGGTGGCCTCTCAGCCTGCAGAGGCCAATGGGACACTTGTGTCCCTCTGTGGAGATCTCCCTTAGGAACAGATATTCACACCAGCGGAGCCCCAAATCCTGAGATCTCGTGAACCGTCCCTGCGTCACATGCCTTCTCCCGCTGTGTGTTCTGGTGTGGGAAAGACCACGTCGTCAGGTACTGAGGGCAGTTCGGGGCACGAGGCACCGCCACAAGCTGGCATCCCAGTCGGAGCACCCTGCCATGTTGTCCAGCTGGCTCTTGGGAGTGCGAAGCCTGTGCCACGGTGGGGATAGTCCAGGACCTCGCTGCCGGACAACTGTGGGAGATGGACCTCTTAGAAGCAGTGCTGTCAGAACCACGGCAGCGAGTAAGGCTTTCTGGGAGCCACTGACAGGCACGGAAAGGTCACGACGCCCACAGACGGGTCGTCATGTCCCTGAACTCCAGGGGTGAGCGCCCCCACGGGAGATGGCATCTGCGTGTTGCTCCTTCCGGGAGTTCTAGCCGCTTCCCCTTCCTCGGCCCTCAGCTGAGGTCCCACCTGCCACTGATTCCCAGTGCTGTCCCTTCCGAGGCCCTGACCGCCACTGCCCGCTTTCTTGGCGGCGCTCTCCAGGTAACATGGACAATGACATGCGGTGCTAGATCTGCGGCCCCCTGCCACACTGCTTTCAGGATCACCCTTGGGGCTCTCGTGCCACCGGTTTTCACCTTTAGCTGGTACCAGCGTTATTCTTGAGAAATCAAGTAGAACTGTTTTACAGGCGGGGCGCCTGGGGGGCTCAGGCGGTGATGTGTCCGACTCTCGGTTTCGGCTCCGGTCGTGATCTCAGGGCTGTGAGATGGAGCCCTGTGTTGGGCCCTGTGCTCAGTGTGGAGTCTGCTTGAGATTCTGTCCCTCTCTCTAAAATAAAATCTTAATAAAAAAAAAAAAAACTTGGGCGCCTGGTGGCTCAGTTGGTTAAGCGACTGCCTTCGGCTCAGGTCACGATCCTGGAGTCCCGGGATCGAGTCCCGCATCGGGCTCCTTGCTCAGCGGGGAGCCTGCTTCTCCCTCTGACCCTCCCCCCTCTCATGTGCTCTCTCTCTCACTCTCTCAAATAAATAAAATCTTTAAAACAAACAAACAAACACCTTTTTTTACCGGCAGCCGCTCAGAGGAAGCTCTGGGCAACCACGGGCACGCGATGAGGGCGTTGTTGCCATAGGTGCTGGGAGACTGAGCCATCTGCTTGCGGTGCCTTCAGGACACGCTTGAACCCAGTCTTGTATGTTAACGATGACATGCTCCAGCGACTGCCCAGCCCAAGGCCGCGAAGGGTCAGACGGTGCACTGACCAGCTCAAGTCCTGTGGGAACCAGGTATCCCTGGTGAAGCACAGCGTCCGAGTCTGTCCTGGCGTCTGGAAGGCAGCCCAGAGCTTGAAAGGAGGACAGTTACCTGCAGGATGATCCTCATGCTTCTGCCCCCGATGCCGGGGGTGAGAGCGTCGGTGTCTGCGGGTCCCCGGCGTACTCGAGCACTGGACGGGTGACCCGGCCCTTCCACACCACCACGGAGGTGCACACAGGCTGCTTCTGGTAGGTCCTGTGGCGGGTGTACAAGGAGGTGCGCCAGAGCGGTCGTTGGGGCCGTCCATTCCAGTAGAGGAACCACCCTGCGTGGGGCAGCGTCTGCAGTTGGGTTCTGATCCGATTAAATGTGTGACAGCCCCTGGCCACCCACCACACCCACATGCCTCCGTCACAGGTCAGATGGGCACGGGTCCTGTGACTCCTCTCCGGAATTCCCATTAAAGCAATACTGCTTTTGGATTTTTACCATCTTGGAGGAAAGCGGTCACCCTGTAGGTCTCTACTGTGCCCTCCCCACTGTTGTTGGAGGGTCAGGGGACCCCGCCATCCCTCTAGGAGAGACGTTCTGGGTCTGTGAGCTGACTCAGTCCTGGGAATCTGGAGGAGGGCTGTGGCTGTGTAGTGACGTCTCTGTCCACCAGCCATGAGGACGGTTCGCTTATTCAGACTGAGGGTGATGTCAGTCCCTGCCCACACGTTCCTGCCCAGGGGCTCCCTGATTAACTGGCTACCACCCAGGGTCTCTGTAGGTCTGATCCTCTCGCTTCGTGCTGTGACGCTGCAGCCCGTTTCGGGAACCATGTACACTCTTACTTTTCAGCCCATTCCAGGACCTGACACTAGGTCCCGTCCTTCCCGGTGAAATTGGGTAACTAATTTATGTGGTGGCAGTTCCCTCTGTCACCTCGCCTAAAGGGGCCGACAGCCACCACGGAACAGCCAGGGATGCTGGGGTCCCCTTACCAGTGTGTTTTCTCCGTGTCTGGATGCTGCTTGCAGTTTCTCAGCAGCAGACGCAGCAGAATGAGACCGCAGATACCAGGTTCATTCCCACACTTTGAGTTTGGCCGCGTGTATGGCCTTCGTCGGGCACACCAAGAGCAGAATCCTCCTTCCCATTCACCAAGTTTGAGTTCACAAAACTAGTATTAACAATGCCGATTTGTGAGTTGACAATCAGAAATATTGTTCCGCGAACCAGACAGCTCAAGTTGGCACGAACGGCAGACCGTGCCCCTGTCAGGAGAGGCTAGAGGCCCTCAGGGCTGAGAACCAAGCACATTCTCACCCAGAGGAGCTCGGGAGCCGGCCGGCAGCAGAGAGGCTGATGCAGAAGTAACATCAGCGTGAGAACAAGCAAGGCAAGTGTTTGCTGAAACAGGTACTGTGCGCAGACGCAGCGTACAGTTCATCTGGGGGGTTTGGGAGTGCTCCACAGAGGTGGCATTTGCGTTGGTTTGGGAAAACCAAGGATTTCGACAGATGGCATGCAGATTGGATACAAGAAGCGGAGTCACTGAGGCACGCTGGGTCAAGGTGGCCTGGAGGAGTCTCATGCCTCCTGAGCCAGCCCTCCCCATGCTGACGCCAGGGGGCTGCCCTGGCAGGAGGCTGACTGCGGGGCCACGTTCTGCCGAAGCCCCAGAGGTCACACAGGGCACGTACCACAGAGAAGGAAGCCACTCTCATCTGAGCATCAGTCCTCACTCTCAAAAACATCTGCCATCACTCATCATCGCGGTTCCTTGTTGGCCATGTCCACCCTTAGGGCCCTGACTCTCTGTTTCCCAAGTGCTCCTCAAACCCCCATTTTCTCCCACTTGTCTGGCTTCTCACCAGCTCTATCCAAAGCTGACCAAGGGGATTTGGCCTCTCACTTTATTATACCAAGTACTTAATTTTCGTCTGTTCTTGCTCTCCCATTAAGGCATTCCACGCGGAAGTCTTTATTTTCCTTAAACTAGATGTCCAACTCAATTGTTTTCCCAAACAAAAGCATTCTCTACCCAGGAGATGAATGACCCAACCCTTACGAGGCACAAAAAGATGCAATAGGATTTTGTTCTAAATTGCAAATTATTTCCCCCACTTTTATGCTGATGATTCTCAACTATCTCAA